AGTGTTGTAGCTATAAACTAGATAAAATTTTATAAAAAATCCAGGTTTTGTCCCAGAACCCTCAAAATTACACAACAACTGCATACTTCCTAAATATCACTACTACTATTAATTTGCCATTAACGATATAAACTTGAATGCTTTAATGATTATACTATACTTCAATTTAATAAAATATCACCATTTCCCCAATTCTTGATTCAATGACTAATTATTTTGCTTCTTATAATCATGTCTAGCCCTGACATTTTCTGTGTTGGTCGCTAAAACTATTTTGAAGAGGCAAAAGTCAAACCAAAATTAAAAGTTATATGTCAAAACTAACTCAAAGTCAAAATTAGTTTCGACTTATGGTTAATGCTGTATAACGGCCAGCCTCTGGAAATTCTCTCATATGTTTTATATGTTGTCTATAACGGCCGACGATCAAGATCTGAGGTAATCATTACCAAATTAAGAATTGAGTGTGTCACACTCAATTATTAATATTAATAATTTGAACGCACTTATTGTCACAGTGCTCCCACTCATTCTATTTCTGAATTCAACAAATTTAACTAATGCAAGAGTTTATTTCTTACCACCAAACATAACAACATTTTTACAACAATGTGATGCCAGGATAATTAACAGCTTCAAGGTGAACTACAAAAAACTTTTCTTGAAAAAAAAATTAGTGATTATGAAGAAGAGAGAAATGGTCAAGAATATGAAAAAATTTCAATTAAATCATGCAATTAAATTTACAGCAAAAGCTTGGAAAAAAGTTACCAGTCAAACTATAGTTAACTGCCGAAAAAAAGCTGGTATCTTACCTGATTATAATATTAATTCCAATGAAATTGAAAATATGTCATCAATTTTAAATTTATTGAATGTAAGAGAGCTCAATGATTTGCAAAATTTGATTGATGAGCTTGCACTCCCTAATCCTATATCTGTGTCTGAATACATTGAAATTGATGACTCTCATGTAATTGATGAAATAATCTAAATGACATAGTTACAATAATCAATCCACCAGAGGAAAATGAAAGCCAGGAAGAAATAATCAAAGAACTTCCACCTGTTACAAATAAAGAAGCCTTGTCAGCAATAAAACATTAGAAATTTACATTGACCAACAAACAATCAGAATTAAATGAGGGTGATTTTAAATTATTGAAAAGTCTTAAAAGAAAAATTAAAAAAATTGATTTTAACTCACAACAACAATCCACACTAGATAGCTTTTTTAATATTGAATAAGTATGCAAATTATAAATAATTTATTTAAAATATATTTTATTGTACAAAATAAAAATCTTTATGATCTGCAAACTCTCTATAACGGCCTTTTTTTGCCAAATCAGGCGGGCCGTTATATAGAGAGTGAACTGTATATGTTTGTAATCATTATTAATGGCCTTTTTGGAAGAATCATGCATGGTTATTCTTGCCTTTCCTAGAAGCAAAACATCTTTATGTTGGTTTGAAAGTGCATTTCGCAAATATTTCGTCATTTCTGAAATAAATGCTAAAATCCGAAATATTTCGGAACAATAAATTGGATTTCGCCCACAGCATTACTTATGGTGAAGCCTTTTGACTCTTTCACAGTTAAAAAACACCCTAGTTTTGAAACCAACACCAATGGAACCAGGAAATAAAAATAAAATAAGTAATAATTTGTTGACTAAACTTGGCTAACATATGACCAAATAGTAATAGTTTAGTCAGTTTAGCCAAGTGTTCATTTGAGTTGCGCAGCCAGCTTTATTTGGTACAAATCAAATCGCCGTGGAGTTGAAATTGTATTAATTGTATTCAAGTTCTATGCGTTTTTCAAAGAGCCTACGACGAAAAAAAGGTGGCAAATAGACACTTGCTAACGATAAGCTAGTACCCTTTTTATTGAACTTGTTTGTTAGCTGGTTGCAGAGAAATATGGATAATATCGACAAAGTGAATAATCCTGGGAAAAACTGATCATATTTACTGCCCTTCAAAGAAAATTCCATCAGTCGAGTGATATCATATGTAAATAAATAAATAATGAGAGAAAAATGAATATTAATTTATATTTATAAATAAATGCAAGAACCCGCATCATGTATTATTTTTTACTTTTTTATTTATTTATTATATATATGTAATCATGTATAAATAATGTCTGTTTTGAGAGAAAGAAAAAAATAAAAAAAATGATATATACAAATACAAAATTTCCATTTTAACTGATAAAAACATGGTATAAACTATCAAAGATCCAAGGTTAGAGCAAATTGGATCATTAAAAACTACTTTATTCATTGATCTAATCAAAGAAAACGTGACTTTTATCTAGATATTTTGTGCAACGATTATTATTACAATTCGGAAAAACAGATGATAGTCTAATTGAATTAAAAATACAAAATGACATCAATGTCAACAGCAACAACAAAAACAACAAAAACAACAACAACAATAATGATATGGTTCAAGAAATATCTAAATTATATACAAATATGAATATTCATATGTAGTATGATTATATTAAAAGGACATTCCATTAAAGATAACAATAATTGTACTATAATATTTTTTCTTTCTTCAAGTTCCCTGTCCAGGTTTCCTAACCAAATTTTTCTTTGGTTCATTTTCTTCTATTGGTCTCCAATCCAAATATCCCAATCTTTTTTTTTTTTGATTTAGGTTTGTTGGTGTAATCAGTTTCTGCTATAAGTCTATTCCAAATGTTTCTCATACAAAATACAAAATTCAAAGTGAGCTGATTATTTTTATGTGTTTGTATTTAATTGTATTGTTACTTCATGATAAACTTTTTCTAATTCAGAAAATCATAATGTTGTTCTCTCCTCAACTTCAATTTTCTTCTCATGAACATCATGCAGTTGAAAAAGAGGCCGGTTTTGTAATAATTGTTTTTCAATCCATGTTTTCTGATGCTGATGCTGTTATTGTATTTAAAAGTTGGTTTGAGATTAAAAAATTGGGGTAAAAAACCTTCGAAAAATGGTTTTAAAGTTGTTATATTGTTTGGTTCCTTTAATAAATTTAAATGGATCAATTCAAATGGAACATTATTCTGACAAAATTCATTGTAAGTATGTATAATCAAATCAAATGCACAACTAGTCATTCTTCCTGGTATTGATCTTTCAAGATGGCTATCAGCATAAATCCGCAAATGATCGGCAAAGGTCCATAGTAGATAAATTTTTAATGAACCAAGTGTGGGATTCAAAAAAACCAGTGATTGTTGACAACTTTAATAATGTGTACCCACAGCAGATTGATAATTCGTGCTGAAACAACTCTAAAATGCATATAAAACGGCTCGAATTCACATAATTTTTCTACTTCATAACTATAACATTCGAATAAATACAATAAAAATTTGTTAAATCAATCAAACCCACGTTAATAAATAAATTAAAAACCACGTTAATAACCAAATCAATAAAACATCATCAAATTAATAAAACGTCGTAAATTAATCAAAACCATATAAAATATAAATCATATTAAATATCGTTCTTACATTTGTCAAATCAAAGGTTTGTATGCCGAATAGTGTTAATTTATTGACTGTTTCCTACCACATCGCCCCCTTTTAAATGGGTTTGTGTACTTGCATTAATCGTTTTCACCTACAGATGGACGCAAATACCTTCTTACAAAATTTCAATCAAATACCAACGGAAAATTATTTTATCGTCATACCTATCTTGATTGTCATCGTATTGTGGATTGTCGAAGGGAAATTTCCAATCTACCTAATCATTGTAATTGCATGCTTCGCTCTGTACAATTTAAAACGGGAAAATGATATCGCTCTTAATTCACTGAAGGATGCGCAAAAACTTCTATCTGAAGAAGTTAATCGAAGATTTGACGACCTTACCGAAAAGATTCGATTGCTATACGAAGAAATGCAACAAAAACAAATCGAAGGAGATGGTTCAATTGTTTTGTCAAAATTTTCTCAAGGTAGGTGTCCCGTTTATCAATTTTTCATGCCATCCATGTTAATGATCCAGGTTAACCGTTTCGTTTATCTATTCAGTTTCGAACCGTTCATCATCTTCAAATACCGCTCTTGTGCAAGAATTTAAGAACCTTTTCGATGAAACTATGCAAGAAAATGATCATACTAAATCTGATATGATTAATGAAGTTATGGCCGATCTAAAAAAAGAAACGGGGATAAAGGTTATCGGACTCAAGGCTATTGAAAATTTTTATAATGGAACAACAAAACCTGATACCAGAACCATAGGCGCGATAAAGACTTGGATTGCACTTAAAACTAAAGATAAATTTATAAGTAGTAGTAATAGTAGTGGTAATATTAATGACAACGAAGATAATAATACCAACGAAATAATTAATGATAATAGATAGTTTTTCACCTGGTAGAGCCAAATTAAAGGGGGATACATTAAATGGTTTAGGGACCGTACGTTCTCTCCCTTGCAACTCTACCGTAAAAAATTACTTGTGATTATTATTCTTGTATCTTATATTTCTCTTGATTAAATCATTAAATAAAATGAATCATCAAAATTTTTTATTTCTTAAAATCATGTTGTACGACATATATATATATATTCTATAAATTTTGGATTCCTTTTGTAACTTCCATGAGAGTTTCGCTTTCTTCTTTACGAGCCGGTTCCTAAAAATTAAGATGGTAATATCATTACCTACCATAAAGGTCACTAGCACCGAATCATTGTTACGCAAATACTCTCTCTTAATTCCGGGTAAATATTGCATCATTTCATCATATATTTGTGTTCTTGCCATTTGGTGTCGTTGCTACTAATAAATTCAAGCAATTCATTTATTAAACCCTGTTCTACTTTTTGATTATATGGAATTTTTATTTCAGAAGATGTAAGTTCATTACTTTTCGCAACAATAGAATCTTGTTTTTGATTAGACAAAATATTAGTAGAAAGTCTTGGTTATTTGAAGCGTCATCAGTTATATCAGATACATAGTATTATCACAATTGTAAGTTTATCTGTTCAGGAGTATCATCGGAATTCGCTTCACAAGAGGCAGTATTATCCAAAGGTTGGTTGATTTTTCTAGTATCCCCATCCAATTTAGCAATATGGTTGCTCTTTTCATCGTTTTGCAATTGTTTCTGTTCCAACTTCGAAACTCTAGCTTTAAGTTCAGTGTTTTCAGCAATAGTATCTTTATCGTTCTGCTCCAGTTTAGCAATAAGGTTGGTCTTTTCTTTATCTCTCTGTTCTAGATTCGTGAATCTGTTTTCATGTTTGCATTTATTATTATGGCTTTAATCTCGACATTCTCAGCCTTGACCTTCGCATTCTCCTTTCTGAGTTCATCAATTTGACAAACGAGCTTAAAATTTAATTCTTTCAACGAATCAATTGTGGATTGCGTGCTTACCATTGTTTTATATAAAACATGGTTATACTGTATTCAAAAGGTTAATCACACGAAAAAATATTGGTAAAATCGCCTTTGCTTTATTGTAAAAAATCAAAAAGAATCAAATCTATCTATTGTTTCTATATTATTGCCTACACTAAAAGTTTTTCCATATCATTTTTACATTTTAAATTTAATAAAGTTGGTCCAAAAAACATACATTCATCAACGGGATGAGAAATTAGTAACAAAATGGTTTTTTTCTTTAATCCATTAGCTTTGTTAATTTTGAAATTTTAAAATAAAATATCAATCAAAGTGAAAAATATATCGTTTGTCTAGACTGTTATACCTGTACATGAAAAAAAGAGAAATTAACTTGACAATTTATATTATATTTTTTAATTACATGAACTATTATTTTATTTAATGGAGATGCGTAGACAATAGAATCATTTATAGGTTGAGACCCATCACGTGTAAATTTTTTCTTCGATTTATACAAAAATCCCATATGAGCCTACAATTTCATGATACGGTTCTAATGATATAAAAAGTGTATTAATATGACGTTAAAAGTAATAATCGAACTAAATGATAATATTTGTCACCTTAAATTTGATCATTGTTTGAATGATATTGGATAGATTCTCTAGATCCAGTGGTGTATCAGGGATCGTAAATCCATTAAATTGATCAACGAGATATATCCCATCCACCCAATGCATCGAATACATAAAAAATTCTTTTCCTAAAATTATTAAAGTATATTTAAGATTAATCAACATTATGCAAAAAATTTTAATAAGCTAGATTATTACATACTATATACAAGTAATCCAAAAGTTTCCAAATCTTCGAGACCTGGAGCCTTTTCAGGCAATGATTTTCGAAGGTTAAAAAGAGCCAATTGCATAGCTATAGATAAAAATAATCATATTAGTGATTTTAACAAAAATAATTAAAGTTCTATTGAGATTATGTTTTTTACCTTTAAGCATTTTTTCTTTATCATCATTATATTTTTTGTCATCACGTTTAAAAGCATTTCCAATTACATCCCCAAATGCTACTTGAACTAACTTGCTTCCAACTTTCATGACTAGAACAGCATCATGATACCAAGTTCCAAGAGTTGATTTACGTTGATCCAAATTTCTTGATAGGTCCAGTTGTTTTTTTCGGTCCGCATTTTCAACTTCACCTCTGATTAGAAATAAATACACATAAATATAAAACCTTCTTAGAAAGTCAACCTAAAATGAAATTACTTACGTTTTCATTATGGCTATGGCATTTACATCAAAGAAAAGTCCCTCCCAAATATAATTTATAATCCGGCTTCTATACACATATTCAGATGCATCCGGATCACATAGAGGGCTGAATGGTGTCTGAAGACACAATATACCATCAATTATATGTATTAGTTAGTATATTAGTTAAATGAAAAATTATAGAATATGTTTAAAGCTTCTTACAAAGCATTATATACTGATTGTACCCATCGAAGATGATAGTCTCTTTCGAACAGATACAAATGCTGATCTTCAAACGGGCTTTTAGAAATGATGCTTTCGACTTTATTTAAGTCAACATAACATTTGATGGTGGCATCTTTTATACACTTGCTATATTTCTCTAAAAGTACTATCAATCTGGGGAAAAGAATCCGCAATCCTTTTTTCAACCTAAAAATAATATCCACATTAAAATAAAAGTAAAAATAAATAAAAAATAAAACCTTTTCCCAGTTCGATTCCATTATTGACCACTCTTCGTTGGTAAATAAGCACTTAATTGGACTACAAATATTATCTTCTGGTAAAAATAAAATCCGATATCTCGCAATGCCACTTTTACTTTTAGCAAGCTTTCCGATAGCCAAATTTAACGAAGTCTAAAACGCAGGTAAAGGTTTATTAGATAACAGAAAATGATGGAGTATAAAAAAAATAGAGATTCCCGGACCTCAACTAAAGACAGCTCCTGACAATACATGTTATCCACATCCTGTTCAAAATCTGTATCATGTACAAAATGTTGATCAATTTTGACATTTTTTGGAATATTATTATTGTCATCCTAAAGATCAAAATTATAGCTAATTTCGGAAAACCACAAAATAATAATTATTAAAAATATATTAGACCTCAGCTGGTGTCAGCTCCTCATCTTCATATGCTGGGATTTCTTTCCTTTTGTGATTGTTAGTAGTGAGGTCAATAGCAATGTCTCTATGGAAATCCACTACTGTAATAGTATATATGTTCTTGCAAATTTTTTGACTGCACCATAAATAGGGATTAGTAAATTTCAAAAGATACCTTTATCTCAGCAAGTCGTATAGCTTCATTGCTTTTATCTGCGCCAGCCGAGTAGTTTCCTCTTCCTTCGTTTTCCTCAGATCTTGCAAAGATTTAAAATAATCGCTCTTATTCTTAGCTAATTTCCAGGACTACAAAACTTTCATAGTAAAATAAACTTTAAATTTATTCATTACAATACGAATAATTATTATTTACATATAAAAGCTGTAGCGAACTAACAGTTCAACACCCAGACGACTAACAGTCCCGTAATGTGCTACAGGAAACTTGAAACTAAAGACATTCTTGAACCATAGCGAACTAACAGTTCAACACCCGGACGACTAACAGTCCCGTAATGTGCTAATGGTTCAAGCCAAATGAAAACCAATACTTTCCTCTAGCTTTGCATACATACGATCGGCCTTCCTTTTGGCAACTTCCGAGACAGTGTCATTTGCTCATATCCTGAATAGCCTTTTTCATGGCATCCAAAAGTTTTTTCTTATCACATGTAACATTAAAGGCACACCACTCGCTCAAACCATTGAGAGATCAACTTTCTAGAGGAGTTTCAGCGAAAAATCCAAACATCGTTTTATAAATTCATGTAACTGATTAAAAAGGATTGTTTTGTTGCACAGCCCATTAAATGCGTACAACATATCGATTATCTGATTGATTATGCGGAAGGATTATCAAACTTGAATTTCTTCTAAATCATTTATATATTTGAAAAAAGTAGATATCGGAAGATCAAGGTTAGGGAAGATCTCAAAGCGAAAATATTGGTATTATAATTGATAATTACTTTTAATCAAGTATAAAGCGTAATATTTATTAAAAAATATATAAAGACATATATTAAAAATATATAAATATTATTATTTTTTTGTTTTGCCAGCACTGAAATCGTCTGTATAACCATCTCCTCTAGAATCATGAAATACCAATTGTAATCGTACCCCTTCTGCTGTATGTTCCTCTGGTTGTCCCGGATTTTTCAATGACATTTCTGAGAGATATTTTTTCGTTATTTGTCTTTAAATACGCACCTATTTCCATTTTTTGAACTGATCTATAATTATACAGAATGGTGAAAATGAATATATATATGGAAAACAAAAATCGTTTCATCAGAGAACAATTAGAGAAACCATGTAACTTACAACGTAGTAGATTCGCCTTGTTCTTTCTTTAGCGTTTCTTCGTCTGTTTTATTATCTCCCCCACTAGGGATGTCCACCGAAACCCCCCCTTTTAGGTGGTACCGAAACCGAAAGTGTACCGAAAGTACTTTCGAACACTTA